AGGTGGGATACTGATATAGTACTATTATCTACATTATATGAAGTTTAAAATAGAGTTAGCTGGGAACTGGCTGGATATACCTTGATTGCCTGGGCATTAGAGGGGCCTACATTTTTAAAAGTGATGATGGAATGCAATTCAAACACAATGTTGTGTTTGTCATTAAAAAGGAAAAATATGCTACTGTAATACAATGGTATGCAAACAATGGTTTGGTTTTTTTAATTACTCTACAGCAGTAAAATTTGGATCTCTTTGTTTGTATCAGACACATTTTCCAGTTAGGGAATTCCTAGAAGCTCAAAGTGGGAGTTTTTTGGGCTTACCGTTATATTCAAAATCGGAAACTAGGCTAGGCTGGCTGCTAGTGCTAGCCATGTTTCCCAAGGGTCAGTAGGCCTACCCATTTTTCTAAAACTGTCTTCCCTTCCGCGTGGAAGATGGATCCTCCTCGTATCTGCATGCATTCATTTGACGTTAATGCCTTCTTGTGGGATTCGTCACGTTTCTAAAATATTGGCTTAATTGTGAACTTCGATGACTAAATTTAAAAGATGGTTATTCCTCCACTTGGCTTCTTTCTTGCCATAGCTTTTTTCCGTCTGCTTCTGCCATGGTTTTTATAACACCGTCGTGTTATTACTGGCTGTTATTGGCACCACCCACCTCTTCAGTAGAAAGATCCATTTCATCGCAGTAGAATTAATTACATACAGTTTGACAGTTTGAAGAACAGGGACCTTTAATAGGACACCTCCACAATTAATAATCGAAGCTATTCGTTATATTCTCACTTCTTTTTCCTCTCTAGTAACTTCTATTAAATGTCAATATAAGATCCCCAATTTATTTATTTATTTGATTTTAATTGCATAATGAAACACAACCAATTTTTATTTTTTATTTCATCACACTCGTATACCATGCGATTCAAATTCAGGATTTTTTACTTTCAACGAAATGAGATAACTACTGAGTTACTTAAATCGTTAATAATATAAGATCCCCAGTTACGTTCTGGATTTAATAACAGTAAGCAAAGATTATCTGGCAATCATAGGTTCATAAGTAGTCCAGAACACATGTACCTAGATGACCTAAATTAAGACGATACATATATCAGATCATAATCCTAATTAGTTTTTTTATAATCCTTACGGCCCACATTCTAGACTTCGGCCTTATCCAGGCCCATTAAAAGATTCCAAGGTCATTGGCCTCAAAGTCCCATGGAAATGCTTCTCTTCTTCAGTACATAAAGTAGCAGTTAAATCCAATTGTGTTAAAGAGGAGAGAGTAAGGGTTCACCAGGACGAGAATATAAAGAGGAGTTCTCCAAAGTTTTAAAGATAAATTCTCATACAAACAATTTAAACCAGCAAATCTTAGAGGGCTTTGGTCCGCCGAATCAAGGAGTAACGACACATACTGATTCATACACAATAACTTAAAGAAGATCAAATCCACCCCGTAAGAAACCCCACATCGCATATTCACATGAATAGCAGCTAGCTTAGCCCATAGCATACTTCTGGGTCCAACTCCTTGCAGTTGTCTCGTACTTGCCCCTGTCAGTCTTGTACATGTGGGCAATCTCCGGTACCAATGGGTCGTCGGGATTTGGGTCCGTCAACAGTGAACAAATTGATAGCAACACCTAAAACCAAAGATATAACCCAAACATAAATTCAAAGACTAATGGAAGGAACAGAAAACTGAAGATAGGTAGCACCACCAAGAAGTAGAAAACAAATTGAAATTCATTCATGCTGTTCATAATGATTGAAGCCACTCTACATTCCTCCTACAACATTTGAGAAATTCAATGTCTTCTGCTGCATATCACAACATACTAGAACTCCATGAGAGCAAGAAATCAGCATAAGTAATTAACCTAGCAAGAAAAAAATGGCCCCCTTTGTAGCATGCATGTTGCTCCTTAACGGTATATCATTCCCATTAAGCCTTCATACATAAATTTCACTATATGTTCAACATTTTCAATATTTATGCATGTTATAAGCTAATTCCATTTCATCTGTTAGTTAACTTATTAAGAGTATAAACAAATAACCTTGGATATGGTTAGGGCAGGGCTCCACTGTTCCTTCAGAATATCAAGGCAAATGCTTCCATTGCTGTTGATGTTAGGGTGAAACACCTTTGTCCTAAATGCGACCTGCAAAACCAGATCAAGCAAATATTTGGAAAGCAAAGCAAAACATTAAAGGATTGGGCAGGAAAAGCTTTGGAGGTAATTATGGGAACAATTTCAACCACTAAACTAGCACAAGTTAATTCCTCCTGACAATGATTTATGATAAATCTCTCAATGACCATAATTTGATACTATAACCACATCCAAAGGTTGGTCATGAATCATAATCTTTATTGTCTAAAATTAAGTAAAATATCTTTGCAAATATGCACCGCGACATTCTATTTAACTACAGTAAATAAAAAAGATGTGAAGGAAGCAATGGTCACTTGCCCCTTAAATCAAACCATCCAAATGAATGACACGGAAAACAATGCATTAATGAAATCTTGTCATTCAAAAAAATAAAAAATAAAAAAACTTACATTTCAGTATCTAACAAAGCAAAATTACTTAGGGATTTGTATACCCTGGAACAAAAGAAACACCTAATAATGGTCTTGACATGTCAACTAAATCATTAAGCATGTATGAAAGACAAATGACTGTTCATGCACAGCCAAGAGCAAAAATAATGTGCAACCAAATGAACTAATACCGGTCATAAGACAATAAAGTAGAATGAGCATTGACTCATTTGGATGCCAAGCAATGTTCCCAAACGCCAATTACCCTGTAAAGACACCTTAATCATAGAACACTTTAAAAGCATGGAATTTATATTTTATAGAGACAAAAATCTGAAGATAATTAAGATTTTTATGAGTAAAAGCTAACATGCCAGCAAAAATTATTCCTAGTGCTTCCAAATTCAGGCCAATTTCTTGTGTGGTCCACACCATATCATATATAAATCAAGTTTGTTCTCCTTCATCAATCCGTTGAAAAAATTCCATCAAATGTCAGTTTGATAAAATTCTTTAACGGCAAAATAAGAGAAATCATATAGGCTCACTAAATATGCCCACAAATTAGTCCTTTATTCATTGAAAAATGCTCTTGGGACAGAATTCAAGATCGAGGTTAAAGATAAGTAATCAATTTGAAGACTTAAAATACCTTAGGTGGTTTGAATGGGTAGTCTGGAGGAAAATGAATTGTGAACAGAAACACTCCACCAGCATACGGGCTATCAGGTGGACCCATGATTGTTGCTTGCCAATGAAACATGTCTTCAGCCACAGGACCTTTATTCAGATAAAAGTGTAACAGTTAGATCAATGCACAGGGAGTGTAAGGTTCAAAGGTGTCCTCAATCTGGGGTGGGAGATCACCTGTTCTGGGAATCGAATCCCCAGTTACTAACAATTCCTAACCTAACTACTAACCATTACCCTTGTCAAAAAAAAAAAAAAGAAGAAGAAGAAGAAGAAGGTGTCCTCAATCTTGGGAACCTAACTCATTGATTGTATGAGTTGAGTCCTCAACCTTGTTAAATCATTTTTACTACGGTCCCTGATGGTGCTGTTATATCAGAGAGAAATGTCCAGCTTAAAGCTATTAGTTCTGTTAGCTAAGCGTGCAGCATGCAAGTTGAGGTGATGGGTGCCACACAGCACTACTTGAGAGTTGTTGTCCAAAGAAGGATTAAACAAGAACCTAATCATTGTTTTCAGGACAGACTTTCCCTTGGGTGGTTTATGAAAAGTATGGCAGGCATAAAATTTATCAAGGATGCATACACTGCACAGGCAAAATGTATGAGTGTTATTAATCTGTTTCTTACCTCAGTTTCTATAAATGAGAATTGTAGTATGCTATTTCCATCCGATAATGATAACCATTTCCTCAAGCACAGCCAAGATCAGCAAAAAACGTAATTGCTACCAATTTATTACATGACACACACACACACGTGGCAAACAACATCAGTCATTAATATAAAACTATTTTGTATGAATGCTTACATGGTTAAATAAACATAGAAAGCAACAGTGGTAGTGCAACGTGTGAGTTAGTGGAAAATTTTACTAATTTGAGTCACAAGATGAAATCAAGACAATCTACATGAATACAATCAGCGCAGTATATGTGGCCAGAAATAGACATCTACATAGCATAAGATCAATTAGACAGTACTCTTGCTGCAAACGATAAAATTAGAAAAATAAATTCTTTAGAAAAAAAATCACAAAATCAAAATCCTGGAGTAAACTTAGGTCCTGATTTCTACAATAACTAACTTAGCTCCTAATCTTCCATGAAACCAACCAATAAACAAAAAATTGAGAAGTTGTTTTTTTTTCTTTTAATTGCTGGAGCAAATATAATCGACAGAAAAAATTGTTAATTTATATTAGTATAATCGACAGAAAACATTTCTATCGATTATATTTAATTTCAACCCATGTTTATTTAACAAAGTTGGCTCTCAATTATACTTATAATCAACATAATTTCCCTTATATTTTGTTGATTAAGCCTTGTTTTCTAGTGGTGGGAGTTCATAGATTACAATAATCGCTGCTAAGATGATTACATAATTTAGTTGATAGTAGGGATACTAGAACAAGGTTTCATAGCTTCCAAATAAGGAGAAACAGCCTCTGGTCAAGCTCAAAGTGAGCAAGATGAGAAGATTCTCCCCTCAGCAGCAGTAGGAGCCCACCAAATGAAACATAAATCTCTCCGAAAACAAAACAAAGAAGTAATTTAGGGATCAAGCACTGAGATTACAAAGTGACTGAAGTCCTCACATAGTAGATTGTTAGATCTAGTCATGAAGTAAAATAGTTGCAAAAGGTGAAAATCAAACCACAGAGTAACAATACCAATTCCAATAGCAAGACAAACTTGTCAAACACGAAGATAAATACATACGCTTTAAGCAATTTTCCTGAGCTTTCATCTGAGATTTTGTATAGCTTTCCATGCATGATATATTCATACTTGTCTGCAAGAGACTTCCTCCCTCCCTGGAGTATAGAAAGAATTTCTCAGCTATGCAGTGACTTTTCTGAGTTTTTTTTCTATTTCATTCTGTTGTCTATAATTATTTGACAATAATTGATCCTACTTATAGCATTAAAAAAAAAAGTGAAAAAGATAATTCCCTAATAACAATGATGCAAAATTGAGGAACAGTGATATAAATGAAAGTACCTCTCTTTCAAGTAGAACAATTTCTATGGCGACAAAGATAATAACAAAGAATGTGAAAAACATGCAGGGCAGAAAAATACCTGAGCGAAATAGCCAGTATCTGGTGTTCCATCCATATTCAATGTGTGAGCTAATGCCATTGTAAATTTTTCACCAACATGCATGGGATATATTTCTGTATTCACATCTAGGTGCATAAACATTTCACAGTTCTGGCTCTGCGCTCCAATACGTGTAACTGCAAGCACGTCATAAAGATCAAATCAAAATTTATATTAAAGCCCATTAAGATAACACATAAAGAACTCAGATCCAACTCCCTTTTTTTCTTCTTTCTTCTTCTCTTCT